TCATCTTCGGGGTGGGGGAGAAGGTCTGGAAGAAGTCAACTCCCTGTCGCTGACTGAAGCCTCGTGCAACGTAACGAGCCTTGAAGACAGGCAGAGAACTCGGCGGCCGTTTCACCCTGAAAATCCACATGCCATCGACGATGTTCGCCCCAGGTGGGGGAACCTCATCGACGTAAGTGCATGTGGACTTCCAGGATGCCATCTCTACGTCCATGGCTGTCTGCCACTGTGAGGAGTAGGGACCCGCGATCGCTTCAGCGTAAGATCGCAGAGTCAGGATGTCTGGTGCATCTGGGTCTCCCTCAGGGGCAAGCAGCATGGCCAGGAGATGAGGTACAGCAGCCGCAAGACACTCAAGGTCCTCCTGCCTGTCCTCAAGGACGTACGTGCCAAGAGCACACTCACCCCCGACGGACAGAGGACAGACAGACTCAGACTCAGCAACAAGACTAGCACTGTAGTCTAGACAACAGGCAGCAGCAAAGTCAACAAGCTCAGTGACTAAGGCAGACGCAGTAGTGGACTCAAACGAAGGGTCAGTGACAACAATGGCAAGCAGACGCGTGACAGTAGGGTGAGCAGCACGAACACGGTCAGACTCAGGGTCGGGAACGATAGGCAGAGAAGACGCAGGAGGGGATGGCAGGGGAACACGCTGCGGCGACAAGAGTGCTGCGGCGAGGCACCAGCGGAGCGACTACGGAGGCGGCCGCTCCAAGGAGACTGCACACCAGGCGCCTCAGCGCCCCCAGGCGCAGCACCCCCGGACTCAGTACCCCCAGGCGCAGCACCCCCAGACTAAGAACCCTCAGGCTCAGCACCCCCAGGCTCCTCACGGTCAGGCTCAGTACCTCCAGGCTCCACACCCCCAGGCTCCGCACCCCCAGGCTCAGCACCCCCAGGCTCAGCACCCCGAGAAGCAGCACCCCGAGTAGCACCACCCCAAGCAGGACCTGAGTCACTAGTGACCTCAACCGGCTCAGTCGAGGGAGGAGGGTCTACCTGAGACACACCAGATGGAGCAGGACCTGGAGCAGAGAGGGGGTCTACATGGGGAGGACCTGGAGCGAGAAAGAGCGGCGAGGGGGGGGAGAGAGGCAATGCGGTAGGGAAAGAGACGGTAAAAGGGGACAGACTCGTCTAAGGTGACGTCTTGAGACGCAAAGGCACGGCGCGAGGCGAGGTCGTAAAACTGCCAGCCAAGCGCGTCACGGACAAAGCCAAGGAAGACGCAGGGAATGGCACGAGGGGAGAACTTGTCCGCAGTGGTATAGCGGACAAAGGTACGAGCACCCCAGACCCGGAAACGCGACGCATCGCCAACCTCCCCCGTCCAACGCAATGTGGGCGAAGTCTCCGGCATGGAGACACGGGGCCAGAGGTTGAGCTGATGCGCGACGTAACGGACCGCAAACAGCCACAGAAAATGGGGGGCAGCCGCATGGATCATGGAGGTACGAGCGACCTCCATGACTAAGCCAATGCGGCGCTCAGCAACCCCATTCTGTTGCGGAGAGGTTAGAAGTGTGAACGTCTGGCGAATGCAGTGCTCTTCATAGTAGGCTCGCAAGAGGTCGGAGGTGAACTCACCACCTCTTTCGGAGTACAGACGCAGGACAGGAAAGTCCGAGTGGAACCGCTCGCGGAGCTGGAGACGAACAGCGCAGATCCAAGGGATCAAAACATCAGGGACATCCCCCTTGCGCTGCAAGGGGAAGACCGTGGTGTAACGCGTGAAGTCATCGACTACCAGCAGGAAGTACCGCTCGTGGCCGTGTCCACGGACGCGGGTTGGGCCCCACACGTCCAGGTGGAGAGTCTGCACTGGAGCCTCTGTGGGAGGGAACGAGGAGGAGTGAGGAGCGGCGCGCTGCCGCCCCTTGACGCAAGGAATGCAGGGCGGCGCAGGCGAGGGAGGGAGGGAGGGCAGAGACCTAGGAAGACCAGAGACCAGGGAGCGAGAGTGCATGCCACGAAGGCGAGGCAGGGAGGGGTGACCAAGGCGGTGGTTCCAAAGGAGAGTCTGGTGCGACAAGCTGCGACACTCACACCGGATAGCTACATGTGCGGACGCGTACAGCTGAGGAGACAAAGGGGTGGAGCGTGACGCAGTGGTGAGGGTGTACAGACTGGACCCAGGCGCACGTGTGAACGTGGCTAGGTGGCGGCCGGTCCGAGAGCACGTGCAGATCGCCACACGCTGTCCTCCAGGAGTAAAGGTGTCAACCCAGTGATCCTGAAGGATGGCGGTGCTCACCAGGTTCGTAGAGAACGAGGGGAGGTGGAGATCAGACAGCTCACCAGACGGGACCGCCAGACACGGAAGCACAGTAGTGGTCCATGCTAGCACTGGGCCCCCAAAGGGGTCAGCCAGTGAGACAGGGACAGGTGCAGGGAGGGGAGTGACTGTGGTGCTATCGTGAAAGAAACAGCTGGAAGCACCAGAGTCAAGTTTAAAGGTGTGCAAAGTTTGAGCGGACGCAGTACCAGGGAGAGCAGACTCGCTAGCACCTAGGGATGCAGACTCTATACCTGGGTCAGGCGGCACACACAAGTAGTAGTCACCCTGAGCACTAACAGTCAATGCATACATGGCAGCAAGAATTGCATCATAGTCAAGGTCAAAGTTAGGAGCACCACGCCTAGACAGGTCTGCCCAGTAGGGAAACTCAGTAGCCTCGGGAAACTTGGCGCGCCAGGCGTTGCTAAGCCTAGAGAAGCAGTGATACTCAGTGTGAAAACCGTTGCATGGGCGACTAGTATGGGGGTCTGTACGAATGATATAGGGGCAGCGAACAGGACCCCCAGACGCCCCACGCTGAGCATACCAGTCATGAAGCTGCTCAGGGGAGGGGGGGGTCTGCTGCTGACGCTACTACTGCTGCTGTGGCGGCTGTTGCTGCTGTTGCTGTCCCTGGCCACCAGTGGAGCTCCCCTTCTGGCCGGATCCACTGTAGCCCCTACCGCCGCTGCCACCACTGCTCCCTCCTCCCCCACTACTGCCGCTGCCACCTCCACCGCTCCTAGTGCCTCCGCCGCCCCCGCCACCACCTCCACCCCCACGACCACCCCCACCACCGCCACCACCCCCGCCGCCTCCACCACTGCCCCCTCCACCGCCACCCCCACCTCCCCTGCCACCCCTGCCGCCCCTGGCACTGCGGCGCTTCCCACTAGGAGCGGAAGCAGCCCCGACCTCCTCAGCACCAAGGTAGTCGAGAGCAGCAGCAGCGGAGGCGTAGGAGGGGGCAAGAGGGGAGGGGGAGCATCCCTCAAAGAGGGGAGTGCGAGGAGTGCCACGAGCAGCACCTACAGCGAGAATGTTCTTTTCGGCTGCTAGGAGGTCCGTCTCGAAGTCGTTGACGGTAAGAGTGGTAAGGTCTAGCGCGAGAAAGTGGTCCCTGGCGGAGCGAAGAGTGTCATGGAGGCGGGTGACTAGGAAGTAGAGAGTAAAGTACATCGGGGGTTGATTCTGGGCGAGGAACTCAGGTGAGCGAATGCGAGCGTCGCTAGTGCGCAGGTGAGAAATGAGGTCCTCAGCAGTGGTGACCGAGGACAGATCGGGGAACAGGTAGGGTAGCATAAGGCGACCTAGGCCTGCAGTGGCCGGGGAAGAGTAGCGGGCAACTACAGCGTCATACAGTGCCTTAGCAGTCTTGTGCTGGCTAAAATGCGCGCGCTCTGTGATTGGCAGATGGTTGCAAATAGCGAGGCGCGCAACAGCATCGCGGGTTTGCCACTGTGAGCGGTCGAGAGCAGTAGCAGTGTCAGGAGGAGGAACGGCAGTGCCAGACGCGTGATCGAACAGTGAAACACCGTCCTTGGCATCAGTCATAAGAAACAGTTGCAGGTCGTCGAGCCAGGTGGCAAACTCTATCGGGCGACCGCCAGGATCGAAAGCGAGGACATTTAGAGTCGCCATGATTGCAGCGCAGGCAAGAGTAGCGCGCAGGCGGCAAAGCAGAGTGCAGGCCAGGAGAAGCTGCGCGCAAGGCTGCAGTGGGGGCGCACGAGCTGCTGGAGCGGCGCGCAAGTGGCTAGGGTGGTGCGCGGGGCAGCAGCGGGCCGTGCATGGGCTCCTAAGGCGGCGCGCGGGGCAGCAGCGGGCTGCGCGGGCTGCTAGAGTGGCGCGCGCGAAAAAAAAGGCAGCGCGTGCGGGCAGCGCAGCGCAGGCAAGGCAGGGCGCGCGCGTGAGGCGCAGCGCATGCCAGGCAAGCAAGGCAGGTGGGGCAGCGTGGTAGCTGCAACGGTAGGTGGGCCCGAAGTAAGACGGTCCTACGGACCTACTGCTCTGAAACCATGTCTGAAATGCTAGGCAGGAATGAATGAACTAGGAAAGAGTTGTGTAAGTATGAAACCCTAAAGGGGCTTTACCCCATATTGGCTACCCCACTATAGCCTAGACATATGTAGCATATATATAATTTGACAGCATGATGTGAACATAAAGAGCAAGATCTCCAATTGTGCAGTGCAAGTACTAGAACGGTACTGGAGAATAAAAAAAAAAAAACAAGTACCGGTACCGATAGCAGAACTGGTTAAAAAAGATGCATTCACAAGCACAAAGATAAAGAACACACACAGTTTTCCTAACGTGGATTCTAGCACGAGCAATGCCAAGGCTTCACACAACATCCACACATAGTCTACAGCACTAACAGAGCCTTGCACTCTCCATTTTTCCACTGTATATCCTGCACTGAACATGTTGCAACCAAAAACAGAACTACCGGTAATCCGGGATAGAAACTCTACGAAATAACTTAGTGCGCCTCGCTTCCCGACCGAATGCTAACCCTTCACTCCACCAATGCCTTAGTCTAACCTCTGTGACTGGCTGCTTGCTCTGCTCCTCTGCTGCTCTTTCTTCCCTCACTTCACAACCCCCCATCACTGCCTCATTCACCCTCTGCCTTATCCCCGTTTCTCTATCGCTCTATCTGCCCGTTCAGCTTGCTCCACTGATCAACTCACCTGCCATCCCCTCCCTCACACTGCTACTTCTCAACTCCCTTGGGTGCCGCCAGCTTGATAGGGGTGGAAGGAGGAGCAGCAGCAGCAGCAGCAAGCACTGGTGCCCGGCGCCGCACAGGGGAGTGAAAGCTGCTAGCAAACGAGCCGGTAGAGAGTGCGCTTGCCAGGCGAGGGAGGACAGGCTTACGCGCCGCCGCAGCCGCCGCCGCTGCTGCTGCAGGTGCTGCCGCTGCTGTTGCACCTCCAGCTGTTGCTGTGGTTGCTGCTGCTTCTGGCATTGCGGGTGCAGCTGCAGTTGCATCCATAACAAATCGTGATGCACGCACGTCTTTCCCCACCGCTGCTGCTGGTGCTGGTGCTGCCGCTGGTGATGCTGATGGTGATGGCGCTGCGGCTTGCAATTCCAATGCTACCGGCACTGCTGCTGCTGCAGGAGAGTGAGACACATCACTTGCAGCAGCACCTCCCATCAAGCCAACCAAGGAAGACACAGATCCCTCCCTCGACAACCCTCCCTCACTCACTCCCGACGACCCACCCCGATCTTCCGACCCGCCCCACGCCTCCGACCTCGAAACCGAGGCTTTAAGGGGCGTGCCGGCACTTAAAGCCGCAGCGGAGACGGAACCACTAGGATAGACAGAGATGGAGGAGGCGAGTCGCTGCCTGTGCATGTGGTGCCGTGCTCCCCTCACAGCTAGGATTGTAGCTGCCACGACTGCTGCCAGCAGAACCGCCAGCGCCACGCTGGCGAGGATTATCGCCGTTGCTGACGTGGACCGCACTGACGTGGACGGCGCTGAGCTGGCGCTTGGTGACGTGTCGGCTGCGGCGCGGAAGGTGGAGGTTGGGGAAGCATCCAGGACCTGCTGACGTGGAAGGGTGTCTCCGATTGGCTGGAAATCAGCAGCGTCGAAAGCGGCTTTAATAGTAGGCTTGACAGGAGGCAGACTAGGAGGCTTAACAGTCGCCGCAGGCTTAATAGTAGGCGCCGTGATAGTGGCTGTCTTGATGCTGGTCCCAGGAGGCAGGAGGGAGGCAGGAGCGTTCTTATGCAGGCAGAAAGCGATGCCGTTGCTTTGGGCAGTGGAGTTGCCGAGTGAAGACGCGGCATAGTAGGACATTAAAGCCCAGCAGCGGTGCTTCTGAGGCACTGAGTCCCTGGGGCGAACAAGGGCATCTGGCAAGGAGGGGTGAGCAGAGGAGGGAAAAAGTGAGGGAAGAGGGTTTGGGGTTCATGTGAGCAAGCGTGTGAGCATGTGACGCCTGGAGTAGGGCAGCTGGTTGTCACAGCCGCCGCACAGTAGGAGATTGAAGCCCTGCAGCGCTGCTTCTGAGTCATCGTGTGTTCCCAGGGTTTAGGGTGATGGAAGGAGAGAAAACAAAAAAAAAACAAAAGGGAGGGGGTGGACGAGTGCGGTGGACGAGTGCGGTGGACGAGTGCGGTGGACGAGTGCGGTGGACGAGTGCGGTGGACGAGTGCGGTGGACGAGTGCGGTGGACGAGTGCGGTGGACGAGTGCGGTGGACGAGTGCGGTGGACGAGTGCGGTGGACGAGTGCGGTGGACGAGTGCGGTGGACGAGTGTGGTGGACGAGTGCGGTGGACGAGTGTGGTGGTTCGGAGTGTGGTGGTTCGGAGTGTGGTGGTTCGGAGTGTGGTGGTTCGGAGTGCGGTGGTTCGGAGTGTGGTGGTTCAGAGTGTGGTGGTTCGGAGTGTGGTGGTTCGGAGTGTGGTGGTTCGGAGTGTGGTGGTTCAGAGTGTGGTGGTTTGGAATCAGACTGTCTGTGACCCATGGAGTGTTTTTAGAAGTCTCATTAGGAATGACTCATTTTAGGACTCACTCGCTGTGTGTTTTTGTTAGTGGAATCACAAGCACCAACAGACTCATCAAAGAGGGTAGAGACTTGTTTTGCGAAGTCCAAGCAGCGACCCGTGCTGCCCATGGTGCTGCTGCAGACTTACCGAATTACAAACACACAGACACATGGCTCACACACATAGAGACTCACCAAAGAGGGTAGACACTTGCTTGGCACAGTCTGAGCAGCGGCCATTGCTGCCCGTGGTGCTGCTGCAGTCCTTTTTCATGTAGCTGCTCACCCACCATACTGGGGAAGCTTTTAACGCGGATGTGAGCTGGTGAAGACCGCAGGGAAGAATGGGGGGAGTAATGGGAGATAGGGGGAAGATTGGGGGGAGAAAGGTAGTGGGTGTTCCTGCTCACACCCCCTCTTACACTCCCTCTCACCTCGGACTCTGTGGTAACCCTCCATACGCCCCCTTGCCCTCCTTTTCTGCCCGTTTCTCTGCCCATCTCTCCCCTCCCTCATCCCTCTTCACTCCTCTCTCTTCCCTCTCACACTGCATCAAACCCGCCCTTCTCCCTCTCCTCTCACACTCCCCTCTCACCTGGGCTTCCGTAGTAATCCCCCTGCACGCCCCCTTGCCTCCCTCCAGTCCAAATTGTGCCGCCCCAAACCCCAACCGCCCGCACTGTAGCACCGGATTAAACTTAGAAAGTGCAGCAGCTGCTGCTGCTGTAGCTGCTGCGAATGCCGCTTTGGGCGATTGTACAAAGGGTACAAACTCTTTCATGCACTGCCCGGCACGGGCATCGTAAACCGCAGGGGTATTTACCCTCGGCGATTGAACCTTTGCCGTGGCGATGGCGGTGGATTGGAGGAGCGCTGACGTGGCAGCACAACAGCCAATCAGAGAGGAGGTGATGGGAAGTGGTGTGGAGGAGGAAGAGGAGGAGGGATTGAGGGTGCTGCATGCAGTGGCCAAGAGTGCCAGGCTGGATTTGCTGTATGCTGACGTGGACCAGGGACACGTGGCAGCTGTGGATTGGGTGGAGCAGGAAGAGGAAAGGAAGTGAGAGATGGAGGTCCGAAAGAGAAAAACTTGAATATTATTTTCCTTAAAATTCAAGTGCGAGCTGGAGTGATGTGTCATTCTTGCATGTCCACGTGGCAGGAAGCAATTGGTGCAGCAAAAACACTTACGTGTCTGGCAAGCACTGAGGTCAGTCGTTGTCAGCAGCCCCTTGGGTGCCACGTCAGCACAGGGGTAGTTCCTCCCGTCACTAGCACACACCTGTAAAAGAACAGTCTTTAGTCGACACCCCAACCACCAGCAGTCATAACCCCCCTTTCCCCCCCACTTAAACATCATTCCCCGCCTCTCCCACCCCTCCACCATTTTTACACACATAAATCTATGATCGGTGTAAGCACGCACCTTGGGGGCTTTAACGGGGCATTGGGCTTCTGACGGCGTCACGATCACATCTGAGTAAAGGGTGTGTGGAGGGGGATGAGAGGGGGGGTGAGAGGGGGGAAAGATATTGAGTAGACACGTGGCGACGTGGAGGTGAGGAGGAGAGTGAGGTCTGCGAATTTGGAGCACCAGGGGTGGTTATAGCACCGCGCTGAGAATCCGATGGCGTTGCGTCACCATCACATCTGTCATCTATGTTGTGAGACGTCTCAAAACACGTCACGATCACATCTGTCATTGGAGTAAAAGGTGGGGAGGAGATGACAGATAGGGTCATCTGACTCCTCATCTGTCAGGAGGAGATGAGGGAGAGGGGGTGAGCTTTACAAGTACCCACCATCACCCACCCATTGGTACCGCACACCACCACCCACTGGCACGCACACCACCACCCACTGGCACGCACACCACCACCCACTGGCACCGCACACCACCGCAGTCAACACCTAAGGCTAGGAGCGGGCAGGACTCACCACCAGGCGGCCGGCACTTGGTGAGGTCGGCGGAAGTTGCCATTCCCTTGGGCGCCATCTCCCTGCACGGGTACATCTAGCAATCATCACCCATTGGCACCACACACCACCGTGTTCAACTCACCACCAGGAAGGCGACATTTAGTGAGGTCGTTGGTGGTAGCCATTCCCTTAGGCGCCATCTCCCTGCACGGGTACATCTGGCATTGGTACAGCCCATTGGCACCGCACACCACCGCACTCAACACACCTAGGGTTACGCGTTCAACTCACCGCCAGGGGGGCGACATTTAGAGAGGTCGGTGGTGGTGGTCATTCCTTTGGGAGCCATCTCCCTGCACGGGTACATCTGGCCGTTCGCCCCGCACACTATGACGTTCAATGAGCACATGATTATGGGCTGGGCGGGGGCTGGTGGAGGGCAGAGATGGGTGAGCAAGCAGGGAAGGGTGGGAAAGGGACAGGAGGGAAGGATGGGTAAGCCGAATATCCCCTTGGGACAGGGAAGGGTGGGAAAGGGACAGGAGACGGTAAGCCGAATATCCCCTTGGGAGCCATCTCCCTTGCACGGGTACATCTGGCCGTTCACCCCACACACTATGACGTTCAGGAAGCATGGCACTTAGGGCTGAGATTGCTGGAGAAGACGCAGGGAGAAGGGACGAAAGGGGGAACGGGAGAGGAGAGGGTAAGGAGAGAAGCCATCTGCACGGGTGCATCTGCCTATTGGCACCGCACACTAAGACGTTCAGGAAGACTGAGCGAGCAGCAGCTTACATAGAGGGTACGAACGAACCATTAAACGAGCCACTTAAGTGCCACACGGACCAAGTCCCTGAAATGGCCTGTCCCGTCCAGCTGGGGGACCCACCCGCAGTGTTTTGAGGCGACCCAAAACGCCAATAAAGCGCCACACAGACCAAGTCCCTGACGTGGCATGGCCTGCCCCGTCCAGGGAGGGGACCCACCGGCCAACTATACTGGTGTTATGTTATGTTACTTTTGAAGAAACCTCAAAAGTAGCATAACATAGCCACGTGATAAAAGTGTAGTTTTGAGACGTCTCAAAACTACACTTTTATTATGTTGTGTTACTTTTGAAGAAACCTCAAAAGTAGCATAACATAACCTCATGGACCAAGTCCCTGACATGGCACGCCCTGTCCAGGGAGGGGACCCACCCGCCACGACGACTGGTGATTCGCCTCAAGAAGGTGACTGGTCCTGGGTCGCCCTGGGTCGCTCTGAGTCGCTCTGGTTCGCCCTAGGTCGCTCTGGGTCGATCTGGTTAGCTCTGGGTCGCCTTGGGCCGCCGGGAAGCGATCCAGTCACCCAGGACGAGGCCGACCCATGGCCATAGTAGCGTTGCCAGCAACTAGTTTAGAAAGAGCAACTCACGGGGGCTGAAGGTCTTCTTGGAATGGACGGGCGAAACGAGCGAGAGGAGAGAGAGGAGCGAGAGGAGAGAGAGGAGAGCTACAAGGGAGAGAACGAGGAAGGACAGAATGAGGAGGGAGGGAGAAAGCAGCAGAACTCACGGGGGCTGAAGATCGTCTAGGAATGGACGGGAGAGACGAGCGAGAGGGGAGCGAGAGGGGCGAGAGGTGAAAGAGGGGAGGGACGAGCGAGAAGGGAGAGAGGAGCGAGAGAAAGGAGGGAGAAAGCAGCAGAACTCACGCGGGCTGAAGATCTTCTTAGAGTCCACGGGAGAGACGAGCGAGAGGGGAAGGACAAGGGAGAGAACGAGGAAGAAACGCCATACGGACGAAGTCCCTCCCGTGTCCCGCCCAGGAGGAAGACCCACCGGCCGAACCGTAGCCATGGTTGCTTCGCTTAAACAGAAGATAAAACGCGGGGAGAAGAACTATTCTGCTGATTGTAGCTCGGAGATTATATCGTGTATTATAACTCAGCGCCAAGAAGCGTGGGCGCGGAGAGCAGAGACTGTAGGTAATTCTAGTATTAGCGTCGTGCGTCTGGAACGAGGAGATATATTGCTCCGTAAAATAGGTGTGACTGAAAAAAAGGGAGGCCGGGATAAGTACATGTATTGTTTCGCTTCCCCTCTGGGACCGCTCCCTGGGGCAACGGGATCGCGAATCGCATTCCCAAGCACGCGAGCTGAAAACCCCCCATCGAAATCCACGAAACGAAGCGCGTGCGCCATAAACGGCGCGGCGCACGGCGCTACGGACGGCGGATTGTTGGCCTATGGACGGTGGATATCTAGTGCGGGACGGGCTCTGATTGGCTGGGAAAGCCGGTTTCGAGTTCTAATTACTTAAGACGAATCTGTCTGTGTGCTGACGGGTACTGCTGTCTTATTGGCGCGTCGCATTCACTTTGATGCGGTTTTATTGGGTTCTATTGTGAACCTGATGGGGTACGTCAGCCGAGCAAGCCTAGGGCAGTGCGGTTCAGTACGTTTTTATGCGTCATTAGGTGGTATCGTTAGGCAATGACCTTCACAACAGCCTAGCAAAGGCCCTTTTGGAAGGAGGTGTCGGTTTGCTGACGTATTAGGAGGAATATTCGGCTAAAACATATTCTATACATCATATTATCCATACTTCCTTTCCTGGTACGCATGAATGGAAGTGAGATGGTTCATTCTATCTTGAACTAATGATCTCGTTTCACTCACAGATGCTGCACCACTTTGGTATGAACGCGCACCGTCAAGCCGCCAAGCGAGGTTTGTATGGTTGCTTGTGACGCGCACAACCAATCAGTGATCTATCCGAGCCAAACATATTCGCTCGTATTGGTTGGCGGCTGGTGGTCAAACCTATCCCGACTAGGTCCGAGCGAACCTTGGGTGGCTTCGACCAGAGCAAGGGTCTCGCTTTAGTAACACTAGTCACAAGGCGCCAGCTGATATCGTTTCTATCACAGGCCCCACTGGATAGCAATGCGGCTCGATAAACAAACTCCCCTCCCCTCCCATCCTACCCTAGTCAATCGGTTACCTTGCCTTGGCAAGAATCTGGATGGCTGCGTGCAGAACAAATCAGCCCCACGGACAGAAATTTGTACTACTATCGTGTCGCTAGAACTACTCCGTACAGAAATTAGTTCAACGCACCACCTAGTAATTTCGTTACACAGGAGATAAAGTCTGACCCGGTCCTAAATTACAGATTGCGTCAGAGCGTAGTGAGCTGTTTTTTTTTTTGCGGCTCGTGTCCGCCTGCCACGTCAGTATTAATGACGGCCAAGCAGCGTTTCGTACCCAGCTCTATTTGCTCAGGCATCGATCGTGTCGTTACTCTCCGTCCTGTCCGCTTCGTTTAATATTCACTACTACGTTCCGTGTAGCCCGCTGCTAGTCTTACTTGAACATTCTGCATATGCTGGACGTGTATCGGGTCGCCATTTAACGAGTTATTAGTCGGACAAACGAGATTGTGACGAGCATGGCGAAGCTCGCACACGAGCAACCAGCGCACGGTTCCAGCGCTGGTAACCCGTTGCCGACGAAGTTCGCGATCTTAGGCGAGCACAGCGTGCGAGAACTCGCGATCTACCTCGTTATATGCACACTTCTTTTGTGTAACATTTTATTTTTAAGCACATCCACCTCGATATGGGAGGGGGATCCCTGGGATTTCCCGATGCTGCGCGCCCTCGTAGCTTCTGGGAAGCTTCGGGGATCTGCGAGTGTGTCAGCACGTCAGCAAGGTGCTGCACAGGAGCTGAGGGAGGCTAATAACGAGGATTTCGTCCCGTCCCTCGCGTATGGAATCATGGGTACGTAAGCGGATACATGACATGCGCGCATGCATCACGTTGATGTTACATTTGTGAATTCTCAAAAGTAACATCAGCATACATCACGTGCGCGGAGATGCTGCCTCCTTTACCTTTCCCGAGGCCCTTACGCACATGCGGCGCGTGCGCGGATGCGAGACGTGCGCCGATATGGCACGTGCGCGGATACGACACGTGCGCCGATATGGCACGTGCGCGGATACAGCGCATACGCGCACATGCTCCGTCATTTCATTCTAAGAGAGTAGTGACCCTCACAATAATAGCACTCCTAAACCCGTCTCTTCCACACAGGTTCCAAGAACCAACACTCCCTCCCCTTCCTCCCTCACTTTCGTGCACTTTCTCTCATCCCTCCTTCCTCCTCCCTCACTCCTCCCTCATCCTTCTCCCTCCCTCTCTCCGCTTCCTTTCTCCCCACGCAGGTTCGAAAAACGACACGGATCGAATCTATCGCCTCCTATTGGCCGTCTACCATCCCCGGAACCTCTATGCCGTGTACATAGATGATGCTGACTCAGCATTCGCGCTACGGACAAAACTCGCCGGCCACCCCGTCCTGGCGGCAGCAGTGGAAGCAGCAGGGGCGGCGGAGGTGACGGACACAGGCAGGAGTGAGGAATATGTAACTGTAACGGGACGGATACGCGTGATAGAGGATCCGGAGATTGTGACTCTAGAGGGCGGGTCGCGTCTGGCTGCTTTGCTGCGCCTGGCGCACACGCTGCTGCGCATGGGTGAGGCGGAAGTGGAGGGGGAGCGGGAGGCGGTGGGAAAGGAGGAGCAGGGAGAGGGGGAAGGGGAGAAGGAGGGGAAAGGGGAGGGGGAGAAAGGAATAAAGGGGAGCGAAAAGGGATTGGGGGAGGGGGAGAAGAGGAGCGTAGAAGAGGGGAAGAGGAGAGGCGGAGCGAGTGGATGGCAGTGGCTGGTGCTTCTCGGTGCAGAGGATTACCCGCTGGTGACGCAGGATGGTGAGTGGTGCTGTGAGGTGATGAGCGGTGAGGAGGGGTAATCGTAAGGGCAATGAAAAGTGCTGCAGGCTGCAGAGGAATGCCGCCTGGTGAGACAGGTGAGAGCGGTGCTGTGCGGTGCTCCATGCCACCATGTACCTCCATGCGCTTCTCTTCTTTCACATCATATGCAACTCTTTGGCGCATATGATACACAACTCAACCCTTTGGCTGCTCCCCGCCGTCTCGCCTCGCCTCGCCTCTCATTCACGGACCATGTCGTTCCATGCTTCCCCACAACCCTTCCATGCTTCCCTGCCCTCTCCTCCAGTCTTACTTGACAACTCAACCCTCCTCCCCCCCCCTCCCCTCCTTCTGTCTCTCCCCACCAGAGCTCCTTTGGCTTCTCTCCTCTGTCTCGCCTCGCCTCTCATTCATGGATCATGTGGTTGACCACCGATTCGAGTGAGTCGCTCTGACTGGTGTTGACTTGCATTGACCTGAGTGGACCTGGCTTGACTTGAACTCGCCTCTCCTTCATGGATCATGTGGTTGACCACCGATTCGAGTGAGTGGACCTGTGTTGACTTTCCTTGACCACCGCTTCTCATTCATGGATCATGCACTTGACCGCCGATTCGAGTGAGTGGAGCTGGTGTGAAATCTTTGACCTGTGTTGACTTGAGTTGACTTGATTTGAGTTGATTTTACTCAGCCTCTCCTGCATGGACCACGTGTTGGATTGTTATTGACCCACTTTGCAGAGATTGCCTTGTCCCAGGCCCAGCGAAAAGAGATGAGAGCTCTTTAACCCTGCAGGGATTTTTTGAGACGATCTTCGGACATAATTCTCAGGGAGCAGCTATAGCGAAGCTAGGCTGAAAGCGTGTACCTCTCCCCCTCCCCCCCCCACCTTCCCAACCAAGCAGCTACCGCCAGGAGAGTGTGTTTGCAGACAATGCGCTGTTTGAGAGGCGGAGGGGGGGGCGATGGATCGCCGATATGCGCGATAGGGTTACCAGATTCGAGGTCTACACTGGTGGGTGTTACCGTCCACCCATCCGCCCTCCCATCCTGAAAACCCCCTCGCACTGCCCCTCCCCTTCTGCTAAGGTCCTTCAAGGCCCCCTCCCACCCCGTCTGCTCCTCGCCTTCCCTCTCTTTCCTCCTGCCACCCTTCTCTTGCTCCCCTGCTCATGCCCTTCCGCTCCTTCTCCTACCTCTTCCCCCTCTTGCTCCGTTCCTTCACCTCCTGCCCTCCCCTCTCGCCCCCCACTCACACAGGCTCCTTCCCTCTCTTCGCATCTCGGCCGTTCATCCGCTACCTGATCGACGAACCACACGCGATCCCACGCCGAATGCTCATGTTCCTGGGAGACACACTCTCGCCCCACCTGCACTACATGCCAACCGCCGCCTGCCAGGCCGCCCGGTTCAATCACACGGTCGTGAACAGTGGCCTGCACTTCCCGCCCTTTACAGTCACACAACCGCACGAGGTCAGTTGCATAATGCACTGGTTGTATGTTACAAGCGCGCAGATAGACATTACAGTCAGTCATGGTGAATAGTGAGTGGCCTGCACCTCCGACCCTTTACAGTCACACAAGGGCATGACGCTGCACAAGAGATCCCGTTTCAATCACATCAATGGGCCTTTTCATTCAGCCACGTAGACCGACTGAGATGTTGCACAATGTTCCACCCGCCCATTCGTTACAAGCACGTCGGTGTGGCTTTATCGGAGGTTCTTCTGAGGGAGGTGCTTTTCTGCTCGTGCATTGTGGTAGTACTCAAAGGTGCAAAACTATGCTGAATTTTTTATTTCGAGAAATACGCAAGGCGCTTCAAAAAGGAAGGTGCAAAAACATGTTCGTGCATTCTGGTACTCAAGGTGCATGATTACGGCCATTTTGTTTGTTTGTTTTTTTTGTTTTTTTTTTTTCTAACTTGCTGGTACTTACACCTGCCTTTCCCCCTCTCTATATCCCCACTGCAGATGCCTCCTGTCAACTCCTCCCTCTGGCAAAACATGACCATGGGAATTTCTTCTGAGGGAGGTGCATCAGTCGTTGGTGGTGCTTCTCAAGGAGGTGCCTCTGAGGAAGGTTCTTCTGGGGGAGGTCCCTTCCTGTTCGTGCATGATCCCGATCCAGGCTTGGTTGCCAAGATAGACAGGTGTGTGATGCGGTGCTGTGCGGTGAGTTCTGGTGAGATGTGGTGGATTTCGATGGCTTGCACTGGTGCCCACTGCCCGCCAGTGTGGTGCGGTGCGATACAATGCGGTCATGATCATACAAACGACCGTACACCCGCAGTGTCCTCTCTTCGCCCGTGCCCTTTCTTTCTCACCTTGCCATTTCCTCTTTGTTATATTGGTAGACTCTCTTATACAGAATATAGTGTTTGCTCTAAAACCCTTTTCAATTCCACCATTTGTTCCTCTCCTTTACCTTCGCATTATCTTCCTCCCTTTTTTACCGCAAAGCACCCCCTCCCCCACCCCACGCCTTACCCACCAACCCTTTTCCTTCCACACCTATCCTGCCTCCTCCCCTGACTCACGCCCCAACTACACCCTCCTGCCTCCAATCTTCCCATACTCGTCAATGGAATGTTCTTCATCCAGCGGAAGAAAGCGTTTTCCTTATCATCTTCCTCCCTCCCCTTTCAAACCCCATTCCACTTCCCACAACCCACACCCCAAAACACACTTTCCTGCCTCTTTTCTTGTATCCGTTACAGGGAGCTTCTTCATAGAGGAGAGGAGAGTGTGGTAGACTGCAGGGTGTGGTGTACAGATGGAAGAAGTGTAGAGTCGTTATGGCAACCATCTCAAAGAGTTCAAGGTCTCAAGAATGAGCTTCAAAATACCATTAAAAATAACGTACCGTGTGAAGTGTAAGGATTCTATACTCTCCAGATGTACACATGCGTGGACATGATTACAAATATATGCGACAAATAGGACAAGCGCAAACCAAGCACCTAATTTGATTTCCCTCGTATAATCCTGATGATGTTGGCTGTAGACTATGCATGTGGATGTTGCAGGAAGCTTGGGCATTGCTCGTGCTATACTAAAATTGGGAAATTGCTATTGTATTGATAATGCTATTGTGCATATTGGTAATCTTGTTTCTGGTCATGCTAGGCAATAAACAATCTAGTTTGAAAAATAGCAGCAATCACTTTTCATGATTGCAGTATTTGAGTTATTTTAGCTGCTTCTTCAATACAGCTGCCTAATCTTGTTTTTCTAAATGTTGAACAGGTGGATGAAATCAAGATTTTTTACTTGCGAGCAACACGCATACTAGCACCTGATCCATCAGAACACAACTCACTAGCCTAGCCTCGTAAAACAGCCCCTGCCTGATCATCATTTTCCCGCCACCTCACCCAAACTTCCTGGGAGTAACCTGAAAGCAATGCGACATCAATTTCCCGTGTGCGGCCTGATCTTCCCGCCACGCACCACGTTGGCTACGAGATGGTAGCAGCAGGAGGAAAAGGAGGCGCCAGTAGCAAGTCTGCTAAATGTGTGTTACTGAGGAAGCGCGTTTCTAGTACTAAGGATGAATTTCGCATGATTGAAATTCTTTCGCGTATCGTGAATTCCCGAGCATTTCGTGCTGCAAGGGCGCCCGTCGCAACCCGGCAAAGCCACGATGCCGCAAATTCGTAACGCTGTAACGTCTCGCAGCCGCAGTGCGGTCATCACCAGTTTGTGGAGTCGGGTTGGTAGCAGCGAGAGTGCTTGTAGCGGGGATGAGCGGGATAGTGTCAGCACCAAATCACCGAGTGAGGTTGGCAGTTCTTCATTCGACTTGTGCTCCTGTTTCAGGGAACGAAAGTGGACGGTTACTCGCATTAAGAATGGCGAAATAATGTTATCAGCGACCAGGATACGGGAACGACTGCACTCAAAAGGGAATTGTTTTCCAGCGACGAAATTCGTACCACGTACACAATTTTAAGGTCAGGGTTGACCCCTGGGTGTGTTTCAATCACACCGAATGCGCCAATCTTTTTTAGCGCTTACATGTTCGACGATTCGTACTCCAACGAGTCTCGTTCGCTCTCATATGGTCCGCGTTTTCCGCCGCACTTGACGCCGTCAGCGGGCGACGCGGTGAAGACCAGAGCGAGAATCAACAGCGCGGGCGCGATGGGAGTAATGAGCGCAAGCACGAGGAGCGCGAGCGGGAGGTGGCGCAACGAGAAGCGCGTGCATATTGATATCGCCATCAATTAGGCGATGCAAGTGGTAGCAGCTACGATACGTCGTTTGACTCGTGCTTTTGAGGCGTAAATGCTGCTGAGAAATTTCGGAGGAGGAGGGAAGGTTCAGCTCTAATACCAGTAAATATGAGCCGTATTATGGAAAGGTAATTTGCGTACTACTGTGAACTACGCAATGAATGTATTACGGCATAGTATGTTTCATACGGTTGAAAAGGCTAACGAGGGCTCATATCAGATGAAAGCTATGAGCAGGAGCATGAGAAGAGAGGAGGGGCTGAGCAGGAGCAGGACATTACGCGCTCGGGAGCAAATAGGAATCGAAGCACACACGGGAAACAGCAAGATATAGCTTTTATTGTTGTCGAGGAAGTGACACTACATGGGACAGAGTCTGGTGTGGGTGCTCCCAGCGCAGTCTCTTTGTGAGCAATTGTGGATGAAATGTCGTGCGAAGGGGAAGAGAAGAAAATCAAATGTCCCACGCGCCATTTGAAATTGGAGAAATTTCTGTGCCGACACGGCATGCTGGGGGATGTTGTCTCGGACAGCGCTGCGTCGCTATTGGCCACGCTAGTTGCGGCCATGTGGGAATATTTCTTCACCATCTTCCCGCCCCTGAATTGTTGTCCTTCCTGGGAGCTGCTTTCGCTTTTGTTCGCATTAGAAGAAGCCCCAGTTCCATCGCTCAAGAAATTAAACATATAGGCCTACCAAAATGTTTACTGCTATTTCACATTCATTAACCATTGGATTTCAGACCCTAGTTTGTTCAGGGTTGTTTAGGAATTATGTAAACCCATAGTTAAACACATATGGGAACTATTCCGCATCGTTGTAGAAATATTAAAATAACACCAATCTACTACAAAACGAACACCTAATTGCATTTTAGAAGTTGTAGTGCTTTCCTGGTAAAATAAATTTGAATAGAATGGGTTGGACAGGAAGTCTGCAGAAGTTTGTTGCAAAAGTTTGTTATGGTATGTTAACAAAGATTCATCTACACAACTTCCTAAATTTGGAAGTGCGCAGTTCCGCAGGCAAGCCACAAAAAATCTTCCTCCATACAAGCACAACCCGGAACCTAGGCTGCCCCCTCCACTCCGCCATGTTCCCATAAGGAGGCACAGCGCCGTCGAATGTGATTATATGGAACGGGGCGAGGAAGGGTAGCGTGTAGGGCTTGAGAGCGAGAGGCGTGGCGTATGAGAGGGGGAGGCGGTGGGCTGGAGGGGAGGTGTACCAGGAAGAGTACGCGGCGTTTAGGAAATGGTTTACGGAGTCGGTTGGGAAGAGAGGCGATGATAGACGAGTCATGAAAGCCTGTGGTGGGGAAGGGGTGAAGGGGACGGCGGGAAAAGGAAGGGGAAAGGAAGGGAGGAAGGAAGGAAGGAAGGAAGGAAGGAAGGAAGGAAGGAAGGAAGGAAGGAAGGAAGGAAGGAAGGAAGGAAGGAAGGAACAATGAGAGCGGGAAGCAGTGGGTTGGGGTGAGGGTGAACGAGGCGTAGTAAGCTCATTCAGAAAATGGTTTAGAAAAGAGGTTGGGAAAAGTGGTGATGATTAGACGATTCATGAGGGCCTGCGGTGGGTAAGGGGTGAAGGGGATGGCGGAAAAAGGAAGGAAGAAACATAGAGATGAGGGGGGTTCAGTCAATGGTTGAGAGATGCGGCTGGGAAGAGCGGCGATGACAGATGATTGATGAAGGCGTGTGGTGGAGGAGAAGGGGTGAAGCAGATAGGGATTTGGAAGGATGAACCGATGGGATTAGATGGCAAAGAACGATGCGGTTGGGAAGAGTTGTAATGATTGATGATTCATGAAGGTCTGTGGTCGGGAAGGGGTGAAGGGGATGGAGGAATGCGAAGGAAAAAACAATGAAGTGCACACTTGTTCTTGGTAGACATGAGCAAAGAAAGAAATGGTTACATGCCAAAGCATGTGCGCACTTGGAATAGGTTCTCAACACTCAAAGCTTGCACACATGCCTATTCCACCTATTAAGCAAAAATACCAGACTTAAATGGAGAAGAAATGTACATCGAACAAAAAAAAAAAGGCACGCCAGAAAGGCACGCTCGGAGTAGTGAGGGTGTGATGTGACATTATACCGAGCTGACTATGAGTCGGCTCAAAAGTCAGCTCGAAAAAAAGGCGCGCCAGAAAGGCACAGTCCGAGTAGAGACGGTGTCTTTGAGACGTCTCATGAGAATCACATGAGAATCGCATGAGAATCACATGCAAATCGCATGAAAATCGCATGAGAATCACATGCGAATCACATGAGAAGCGTGGTGTAGAGTATAATTACCTGATAGAGGTTCTCTGAGGGAGCGAGGAGGGGCGTGGCGGTGGAGAAACAGTCCGGGGAAGGGAGAGAGGGGCGCGGAGCATGAAACAGTGACAACGTACCAGGCAATGAGGGATTTAGAATAGACGCACCTGATAGAGGTTCTCTGAGGGAGCGAGGAGGAGCGCGGCGGTGGAGAAACGATCAGGAAGAAGGGCAGGGGGCTGAGAGCAGGAGGCACAGAGAGCGCACATGCAACCTTGACGTACCTGATAGAGGCTCTCTGAGGGAGCGAGGAGGAGCGTGGCGGTGGAGAAACGGTCCGGGGAAGGGAGAGAGGGGCGCGGAGCATGAAACAGTGACAACGTACCAGGCAATGAGGGATTTAGAATAGACGCACCTGATAGAGGTTCTCTGAGGGAGCGAGGAGGAGAGTGGAGGTGGAGAAGCGGTCAGGAGGCAGGGAGAGAGGGGCGGCGGCAAATGGGCTGTGGTGGGAGAAGAGTTGCAGGCAGGATCGCCAGAAGAGGGAGAGAGGATGCACGTAGGCAACGAGTGGGATGTCAACCTGTTGATATTTGGGGGGAAGAGGGGGACAGGGAGTGGGGAGCATGGGTATGGGAGTAGGCAGGGAGAGAGAGGCGGCGGCGAAGGGTTGGCGGTGGGTGAAGAGTTGGAGGCAGGAGCGCCAGAAGAGGGAGAGGGGATGCACGTAGGCGATGAGTGGGATGTCGGTCTGTGGATATTGAGGGGGGGGGAGGACGGGAGGGAGACAGGGGGGTTGGGAGGTGAGCAGAAACGAAGGGGCGGTGGTGGGAGAAGAGTTGCAGGCAGGAGCGCCAGAAGAGGGAGAGGGGATGAACGTAGGCAACGAGTGGGATGTCGACCTGTTGGTTGGGGTTGGAGCAGAGGGATAAGGGAGCCAGGGGAAAGGGTGGCAGGGAGAGAGGGGGTAGGGAGAGAGGGATAACAGTGAAGGGGCGGTGGTGGGAGAAGAGTTGGAGGCAGGATCGCCAGAAGAGGGAGAGCGGATGAACGTAGGCAATGAGTGGGATGTCCGTCTGATGGTTGGTGGGGCGGAAGGGAGACAGGGAGAAATGGGGCAGGGAGAAAACGGGCAGGGGGGAAACGGGTAGGGGAAAAACGGGCAGGGGGAAAACGGGCAGGGGCAAAGGGTACAGCGGCAGGGGGCAGCAGTGAAGGGGCGGTGGTGGGAGAAGAGGTGGAGAGGCAGGCAGGCTCGCCAGAAGAGGGAGAGTGGGAGAAGAGGTTTCGAAAGAAGCGTTATCGTGTCTGCTATTCCATGTTGCCATTCCTGTGGCCATCGCTCCACCCACCTTTTGAGTCAACTCAAAGACAACTCCTTAGTCATCCCTTTACAATGGCCCACGCCTGCTATTCCCTGTTGTCATTCCTGTGGCCATCGCCGTAACCCCCTGCTGCCACCCCCTCCCCTATCCCTGCAGCTTCCACCACACTCGGATCTGATTTGACTCTCATTTGTTTCCATAATTCCACCCAACCACTGCAATATACACCCATCCACCTGCTGCCGCCCCCTCCCCTATCCCTGCAGCTTCCATCATACCCTGATTTGACTCTCTTTTGACTCTCATTTGACTCTCATTTGACTCTCATTTGACTCCCATTTGTTTCCATAACCCCACCCAACCACTGCAATATACACCCATCCACCTGCTGCCGCCCCCTCCCCTTATCCCCACAAATTCCATCATACCCCACCCCACCCCACCCAACCACTGCAATACACCCACCCCCCTGCTGCCCATCCCACCTGCCTGCCTGCCACCCCACCTGCCACGTTAACTGAACCCACCTGCTGCCACAGCCGTAGAATCATGAAGTCGGGCGGCAGAGGTCGGGCGGCACGAGCTGGCGGGTGTTGCACAGAGACGAGGTCGACCACTCGCACGGACCAGAAGAGCGACTGCAGGGGGGCGACAGGGATACGGGAGAGGGGAGTGTGCAGGAGAGGGTAGAGATTGGAGTGAGAGTGGGACCGGGTCGACCACTGTCACTGACCAGAAGAGGGACTGCGTGGGTTGAAAATGAGGGGAGGGGGTGGAGCGAGGGGGGAGGGAGGTGGGGGAACGTGGGATTCAGGATGTGAGGACAGGAGGGAGTGGCGTGAGTGGATGGGCGGCGCGCACAGAGACTCGGGTCAACAACTCGCACGGACCAGAAGAGTAACTGTGGGGGTTGGTGAAAGGGAGGGGGGGAAGGGGTGGGATTGTGAGGTTCAGGATGCGAGGACAGGAGGGAGTAGCGTGTGTGGATGGGCGGCGCAGAGAGATGGGGTCAACAACTCGCACGGACCAGGAGAGTGACTGCGTTGGTTGAAAATGTGGGGAGGTGGGGGGGTTGTAAAGTGTGTAGGGGAGAGTAGAGATTGGGGTGAGAGTAGAGGGAGTGGATGGGCGGCGCACAGGGAGGGGGTCGAGGTGACTTTTGAGTCGACTCAAAAGTCACCTCTGAGAGTAGAGGGAGCTTTTGAGTCGACTCAAAAGTCACCTCTGAGAGTAGAGGGAGCTTTTGAGTCGACTCAAAAGTCACCTCTGAGAGTAGAGGGAGTGGATGGGCGGCGCACAGGGAGGGGGTCGACCACTCGCACGGACCAGAAGAGGGACTGTGTTGTGTGGCAAAAGGCAGAGGGGGAAGGGGGGGGGTCGTGGGGTTCAGGAGGTGAGAGCAGGAGAGAGTAGATGGGCGATGAACAGAGACGGGGTCGACCACTCGCACGGACCAGAAGAGAGACTGTGGGGTGGTGACCGGGGGAGGAGGGGCGGGAGCATGGGGTTCAGGAGGTGGGAGCAGGAGAGAGTAGAGGGAGTGGATGGGCGGCGCAGAAAGGACAGGGTCGATTCGACCACACACTTTTGAGAATTCTCAAAAGTCGCACCAATATGGGGTTTAGGAGGTGGGAGCAGGAGAGAGTAGAGGGAGTAGTAGATGGGCAGTGCAGAAAGACAGGGTCGACTCGACCACACACAGTGACCAGAAGGGAGACTGCGGTGGGGGGTATAGAGACGGGAGGGGTGGGACCGTTGGGTTGAGGAGGGGAGAGCGGGACGGCAGTGAGTGGAGTGAGTGGGCTGGGCACAGAGATTGGTTTCGACCACACGCACGGACCCGTAGAGAGGCTGTGGGGTGGTGACAGGGGGAGGGGCGGGGCCGTGGGATTGAGGAGGTGGGAGCAGGAGGGAGTAACGGGAGGGGATCTGGATGAGTGGCGCACAGAGACTGGGTGCAGTGCAGTGAACCACACACGGACCACAGACAGAACAGAACACACTAACTATACTCACTATGATGATCCGAGTATACAGGAAATTTTGTCTTCATACTCGCATACGGAGCTGCATCAAAAGACCTGACAAGCCTCACCAAGATCCTAGGTTAGAAAGAAAAAAAACAGCGAAAGCAGCGGTTTCGTTTTACTCACCTCGAATTTGTATGGCACCCATTTCTCATTGGCCACTCTAGACGACTCCAGCAGCAGCCCAGGGCAGCCGAGCTGATCAGTAGCCGATCATTGGACTGACCAATAGCTGATCAGTAGATGATCATTGGACTGACCAATAGCTGATCAGTACATGATCATTGGACTGACCAATAGCTGATCAGTACATGATCATTGGACTGACCAATAGCTGATCAGTAGCTGATCATTGGACTGACCAATAGCTGATCAGGTCAGTTTAAACAGTGTTGAGACGTCTCGAATCTGAAGTGAAACGTTTCTGTTCCACTCACCTTGAGGCAAGTTTTGAGGCACCTCAAAACTAGACTTCCACTCACCTCAAAGTCGTATGGCGCCCATTTCTCCTTGGCCATTCTCTAGACGACACCAGCAGCAGCCCAGGACAACTGAGTTGATCAGGTCAGTCCAAACAGTCTTGAGACGTCTCGAATTTGAAGAGAAGAGTTTCTGTTTCACTCACCTCAAAGTCATAGGGCGCCCATTTCTCCTTGGCCACTTTAGACGACACCAGCAGCAGCGTACGGCGACACTTGTCCTTATCCACACCGGCCCGGCCGCCCTTCATCACCCTCCTTTCTCCCATCCCCTCCGCCCCCTTCCCCTCCTCCCGTCCTCCCATTCCCCCTCCTCCTCCCCCTCCTCCTCCACCCCTCTTCTTGCTTCTCTCCTCCCCCCTCCTCCCCCACCCATGCCTCATTTTCTGCTTGCCATGCTTCCCTGTAGACCCATCTTTAGATAACGCTGCTGAGGCATCAGTGCCAGAGCTGACAATGCCGCCACCGGTGCTATTTGTCTCGTCTGCCCGCCCGCAATGATGGCGGCGGAAGGATCGGATCCACACGGCCACGGGGATGATGTCAGCCGCTGACGTCAGCACTGTAGCAAACACTCCTTCCTCTGCCTGCCTCTGCCTTTCCTGCTCCTGCTGCTCGTGTTTCTGGGAAGTTTCCTCAGCATTGAAACCAGCCAATCCGGTGACAGATACTAACCCTGCTGTCGATCTCTTCCCTTTGTAACCGTTCTCAACCGCTCTTGATCGCGCTCCTGACGCTCCTCCTGCTCCTGCTGCCGCTGCTGCTGCTGCTGCTGCTCCCAAAGCAACACCGCTCTTGCTTACAGAACCGGATGAGGAGGAGGAAGAGGAGGAGGAGAAGGAGGATTCAAGAGGGTCGAAGAAGGAATCGAGAGCAGAGGTGGAGGCGAGGGATCTGGAGCTGCCTGCTCTCCCTGCCTTGGGTTGTTGAGTGCTATGACTAGTGGTGAGGGAGGACTGGAGAGGGTCGAAGAATGAGTCGAGAGCCGAGGTGGAGGCGAGGGACCTGGAGCTGCCTGCCCTCCCTGCCTTGGTCTCAGCACCTGACTCACTGCTGTCTTTTACAGATGAAGAGGAGGAGGAAGACGAGAAGGAGGACTCAAGAGGGTCGAAGGAGTCGAGGGCAGAGGTAGAACCCAGGGATCGCGAGCTGCCTGCTCTCCCTGCCTTGGTTGGCTGACCTGCTGCTGCTGCTGCTGCTGCTGCTGCTGCTGATGATGATGATTCACTGCCTTCTTTTATAGATGCGGAGGAGGAGAAGGAGGACTCGAGAGGGTCGAAGAAGGAGTCGAGGGCAGAGGTAGAAGCCAGGGATCGCGAGCTGCCTGCTCTCCCTGCCTTGGTCTCAGCACCTGACTCACTGCTGTCTTTTACAGATGAGGAAGAGGAAGAGGAGGAGGAGAGGGAGGACTCGAGAGGGTCGAAGAAGGAATCGAGGGCAGAGGTGGACGCGAGGGACCTAGAGGTGCCTGCTTGCGACTTGGCATACCCACCACCATGGCTGCTGTGCTTGGCACGGTTATGGTTACGGTTACCATGTAACCTCTGCTGCTCGTACTCTTTCTGCCGCTGCTGCTGCTGCGGCCGGTTCGGCTGCTTCTCCTGCTCGTTTCCCTGTTGCTGATGCTGGGAGTGTAATGGAAGTGGTGGGTCATTGAGCGTATCAGAAGAGGCGAGTGGAAGCGAGGGGGGGAGGGAGGAGGGGGACCAGAGCCATTGAGGGAGGTGAGGAGGGGGGCAAGGAGAGGAGGAGGAAAGCGAAGAGGAGGAGGAGGAATGAGAAGAGGAGGTGGAGGTGGTGGAGGAGGAAGAGGAAGAGGGAAGGGAGGAGGAGGAGGAGGAGGAGGAGGAGGAGGAGGAGGAGGAGGAGGAGGAGGAGGAGGAGGAGGAGGAGGAGGAGGAGGAGGAGGAGGAGGAGGAGGAGGAGGAAGAGGAGGAGGCGGGGGGTGCAAGGAGGGCCGTATCGAGATGAAGCTCTGGAATTAACCCTACCCATCTTAGTTGTGCCACTCCAGCCCAGGAGCACACTGGAGCGGCGAGGAGGGGAGATGGGGAGGGAGTGGGCGGAGGGGGCGGAGAGAGAGGAGACGAAGTGGGAGTGGGCGGTGAAGGAGGAGGTGTGTTTGAGGTGTCAAGAGGAGGGGAGGAGGAGGAGGAGGAGGTGGAGGAGGAGGAGGAGGAGGAGGAGGAGGAGGAGGAGGAGGAGGAGGAGGAGGAGGAGGAGGAGGAGGAGGAGGAGGAGGAGGAGGAGGAGGAGGAGGAGGAGAGAGGCGGCGAGGTAAGAAATGACGAGGGGGACGGGATGGAAGGTGGTAGGGAAGGGAGTGGTGTGGTGCTCCCGTTGCCTACCTGCTGCTTCCCCAAATTCATTGCTGCCTCTTTTCCCAGCCTCACTGCCCGCACCTTCTCCACTTCTTCCCTCTCTCTCCCCAACCTCACTGCGACCTTCTCTCCTAGCCCCTCTGCCCCCTCCTTCCCTATCTCCCCTGCTCCTTCCTTCCCCCCCTCCACTGCTCCCCCTTTCTCTGCTCCCTTTTCTGCTCCCGCCTTCCCTGCTCCCACCTTCCCTAGCTTCACAGCTCCTGTCCTACTTAAATTCATTATGCCCCTGTTGCCTAGATCTACAGCTCCTGCTCGTGACAGGGGCAGCTGCAAACTTGTCGAGTTTGCCACTCCTGCTTCATCTGCCCAACCCTTTAACCCCCTCCCCAATCCCCCCTTCCCCTCGCTCTTCCCTTCCACTGTTCTCCCCCCTTTCCCCTCCCCCATGCCCCCCGCTTCCCCCTCCGTGCCCTTTCCTTGCCCCTTCCCCTGCCCCTGCCCCACACAGTGCGCCCCCTCCCCCAAGGGAGCCGCCCACTCCCCCTGCTGCAGCGACCAGTACAGGGCCAGCCAGGCTCGGCACCACACCGAACAGAACCCCCAGGCTTGGTCGGTTTCGGACAGGTACGGGAGAGGTCCGGCGAGGAGGGGGTGGGTAGATATGGAAGGGGAGGAGGAGGAATGGTGTGGAGAGTGGTCTGGAGTGGTGGCACAGCCACAAGCACAGGAAGCGGAGTTAGAAGCAGTGGCAGCGTTACTAGTAGCAGCAACAGCAGCAGCAGCAGCAGCAGCAGCAGCATTACCAGTTGCACCACCAGCAGCACTGGTAGCAGCACCAACAGCAGCAGCAGCGCTACCAGCAGCAACCCCGTTCCCAGCACCCTTAAAGCCCAGCTCCTGACTCCCAGGGACCAGCTGGTCCAAGGGGGTGTTCAGAAAGAGCCAGGGCTTAAACCAGGGGTTGGCGAAGTGCACTGTGTGAACAGGTCCTAGGTGCAGCGGGGCGCAGTCAGGGCCGCAGGGGGGGTGTAACCAGGAGGGAGGTTGGTACCAGGGGAGGGGGAAGTGGAGAATGGCGTTGGTGGTAAAGGGGAGGCGGCAGGAGGGGTGGGACTTGAACCAATGGCGAAATACCGAGTTGAGAAAATCCTGGTGATGGGAGCAGGAGGGAGGGGCATGGGGAAACAGGGAGGGCATGAGTCAGCGGCGGCAGGAGGGGTGGGACTTGTACCAGTGGCGAAACACCGAGTTGAGAAAATCCTGGTGATGGGGGAGAGGTGGGGAGTGGAACAGAGGGAACAGGGCAGGGGAAGCAGGGGAGCGGGGGGGGCAGGAGGAACAGGGGAAAAGGGAGCAAGGGGGCAGGGGGGGGAGGGGGAAGAGCGGGTGAGTGAGTTGGGGCAGCCAGGGGGGAGGTTGGTACGCGGGGAGGGGGAAGTGGAGGATGGCGGTGGTGGTGAAATGGAGGCGGCAGGAGGGGTGGGACTTGAACCAGTGGCGAAATACCGAGTTGAGAAAATCCTGCGATGGGGAAGGAGTGGGGGATCAGGAAGGGGCAATTGGGGGCATCGGTGAACAGGAGGAGGAAAGGAGGCGGCAGGAGGGGTGGTGGGACTTGAACCAGTGGCGAAACACCGAGTTGAGAAAATCCTGCGATGGGGAAGGAGTGGGGGATCAGGAAGGGGCAATTGGGGGCATCGGTGAACAGGAGGAGGAAAGGAGGCGGCAGGAGGGGTGGGACTTGAACCAGTGGCGAAACACTGAGTTGAGAAAGTCCTGCGATGGGGAAGGAGTGGGGGATCAGGAAGGGGCAATTGGGGGCATCGGTGAACAGGAGGAGGAAAGGAGGCGGCAGGAGGGGTGGTGGGTATTGAACCAGTGGCGAAACACCGAGTTGAGAAAATCCTGCAACGGGGGAGAGGAGGCAGCAGGGGGAGCAGGGAGCGGCAGGAAGGACATGGGACGGCAGGGGGGTGTATGGGGGGGGGGAGCATGAGTGGTAGGAGGGGACATGGGCCAGAAAGAGGGGAAATGGGAACAGGGGGAGGAGCAGGACGGGTGGGTGTGGTAGCAGTGGTAAAACAACATCATCGACAGCTCTTTCCGAGGGAAAACATCATCATCTCCCCTCCCCCTGTTCCCATTTCCCCTCGCTGGAATATGTCTCAAAGTCTTTCCGAGGGAATATGCCATACCTGGTCTGGTCGTTAGGCATGGCGCCAGTCTGCCATACCTGGTCGTTAGGCATGGCGCCAGTCTGCCATACCTGGTCGTTAGGCATGGCACCAGCGCGAGCAGCCACGGCAGCAGCCACCACCTTGGCTCGCCTCACAATCTGCCGGAACACCGCGAGGCTCGGCCGAACCAGCAGCACGCCTGCGTTGAAGCGGTCAGCCTCGTACACGTCAGGTGCGGCAGCCAGAGGTTCGGGACAGGGCTGCCTGTGGGGGGAGGTGTTATCTGGTGAAGGTTCGACCCTGTCTGCTCCCTTGCTGCTCCTGCTGCTGCCGCCGCCACTGCTGCTGCTACTGCTGCTGCTGCTGCTGTTGCTGACGTTGCTGCTGCCATCCTCCGCGTTACTAGGGAACAGGTGATCCAAATTCCTCGTTATAAGCACATCCACATCAAGATACAACACCCAGTCATACTCCACCAACCGCCACACATGAAGCTTCCTGTAACCTTCCACCGGAGACCCCCCCCCTGCCATCCCCGCCCCCTGATTGGTCCCCAAACCATCCCCAGCCGCCCCACCAGCTCCGCCGCCCGATCCCCCTCTGCCCGCCGCCCCTCCGCCGCCCGGGTTCGCCACTAGCAGTGGATTGGCCGCGACGGCGGCTCCTTGAAGGTGATTGGCCGGGAGGGGGATGACGGCTGTGAAGTGGCGGAGGAGGAGGGGGAGGGGGAGAGTGGAGGGCTGGTGGGGTACGGAGGAGGAGAGGAGGAGAAGCAGGTCGTGGGGCGTGCGGGAGAAGCGGAGGGCTTGAGCTGCCACTATAGCCGGACGGAGCTGGAAAGGGGGGAGGGGAGGGGAGGGGAGGAGGGAGGGGGGAGAATGAGGGGGTGTGGGAGAAGAGGAGGGCTTGAGCTGCCACTATGGCCGGGCGGAGCTGGAAGTATAATTGTTGGGGTGGAAGGGGAGAGGGGGGAGAGAAATGGGGGGCATTAAGGAGGAGAGGAGCAGCAGGTCGTGGGGGGTGCGGGAGAAGCGGAGGGCTTGAGCTGCCACTATTGCTGGTCGAAGCTGGGAATGGGGAGAGGGGAAGGGTGGGTGGAGGGGGGGAAGAGGAGATAATTAAAGCATAGAAGAGGAGAGGAGGAGTAGGAGGTCGTGGGGGGTGCGGGAGAAGCGGAGGGCTTGAGCCGCCACTATGGCCGGGCGCAGCTTGGGGGGGGGGGGGGAAGAGGGAGGGGGGGAAATGAGGGGGAGAGTGGAGGGTTGGCGGGGTACGGAGGAGGAGAGGAGGAGGAGGAGGTCGTGGGGGGTGCAGGAGAAGCGGAGGGCCTGAGCCGCCACTATGGCCGGACGGAGCTGGAAGGGGGGGGAGGGAGGGGAGGAAGAGGTGGAAATGAGGGGCAGCAGCGTGGAGGGTCGGCGGGGAACGGAGGAGGAGAGGAGGAGAAGATGCGGAGTGCTTGAGCTGTCATATCATTGGGCGGAGCTGTAAGGTGTTGGGGTTGGAGGGGGAAGGGGGAGGGGGAAGGGGGAGGGGGAAGGGGGAGGGGGAAGGGGGAGGGGGAGGACAAATGGGGGACGTGGAGAGGACAGGAGGGAGAGGTGGGAAGAGGCTGGTGGGGGGGGACAGGAGAGGTTATGGCTTTTGAGGCGCCTCAAAAGACTGGTGGGGGGGGGGACAGGAGAGGTTATGGCTTTTGAGGCGCCTCAAAAGACTGGTGGGGGGGGGGGACAGGAGAGGTTATGGCTTTTGAGGCGCCTCAAAAGACTGGTGGGGGGGGGGACAGGAGAGGTTATGGCTTTTGAGGCGCCTCAAAAGACTGGTGGGGGGGGGGACAGGAGAGGTTATGGCTTTTGAGGCGCCTCAAAAGACTGGTGGGGGGGGGGACAGGAGAGGTTATGGCTTTTGAGGCGCCTCAAAAGACTGGTGGGGGGGGGGACAGGAGAGGTTATGGCTTTTGAGGCGCCTCAAAAGACTGGTGGGGGGGGGGGGACAGGAGAGGTTATGGCTTTTGAGGCGCCTCAAAAGACTGGTGGGGGGGGGGGACAGGAGAGGTTATGGCTTTTGAGGCGCCTCAAAAGACTGGTGGGGGGGGGGGGACAGGAGAGGTTATGGCTTTTGAGGCGCCTCAAAAGACTGGTGGGGGGGGGGGACAGGAGAGGTTATGGCTTTTGAGGCGCCTCAAAAGACTGGTGGGGGGGGGGGACAGGAGAGGTTATGGCTTTTGAGGCGCCTCAAAAGACTGGTGGGGGGGGGGGGACAGGAGAGGTTATGGCTTTTGAGGCGCCTCAAAAGACTGGTGGGGGGGGGGACAGGAGAGGTTATGGCTTTTGAGGCGCCTCAAAAGACTGGTGGGGGGGGGGACAGGAGAGGTTATGGCTTTTGAGGCGCCTCAAAAGACTGGTGGGGGGGGGGACAGGAGAGGTTATGGAACGAAAGGCAGGGGAGGGGGGAGACGGGGAGTTGGGAGAATAGGAACTGAGGAGAGGAGCGAGTGAATTGTGGGAGCGGGGAAAAGAGAGACAAACATGGTTACGAATGTTACAAGAACGAGGTGTCTGTTACAGTGAATCTGTAACGAACACCCGCTGTTGTTACAGAACACCCACCACAGCCACACGCATGTTACAATCACAATGTGTTTGTTACAATGATGCTGTTTCGCTCACCTACTTAAAAAAACTAAACTACCACACAAATTTCCGTATCACGCGAAACCAACCAAGTTATAAGCAGTTGTCAACGCATGCTGAACCTTACCCCTCCCCTCCCCCTCTCCCCCCCTCCCCTCCCCCTCTCCCCCTCCCCTCCCACTCTCCCCCCTCCCCTCCCCCTCTCCCCCCTCCCCCTCCTCCTCTCCCCCTCCCTCCTCCCTCAATCTCCCAACCTCCCTCCACCCGCACACCAGCCCGAACCAGGAACGAACCGCCAACCAGATCAGACGAACTAACGATTCTTGAGACGTCTACAAAATTCTCTCCCTCCTCCCCTTCCCCCCACTCCCCCCCTCCTCCCCTTCCCCCTACTCTCCCCCTCCTCCCTAGTCCCTCATCCTCCTCCCCTCCCCCTCCCCCTTCCCTCCACCCGCACCCCACCCGAACCCCACCCGAACCAGGAACGAACCACCAACCAGACTAGACGAATGAACGATGAACACGTAAGCGAATCGCGATTTCGCCATCCCCGAGCGAAGCGCATCCAGCAAGTCGCCTCCTCTCCCCGCCTTCCCTCCCTTTTCCGCTGCGCCTCTTCCCCCTCGCCCTCCCCTTTCTCCCCCTTTCCCTTCCCCGCGCCGACTTCCATCTCCCCCCTCCCCCTCCGCCTCCCCCTCCCCGTCTCCCCATTCCCCCTCGTCCGCTTCCGCCTGTAGCCGCGCCTTTAACTGCATTCTTAAAGCCCGCGTTCGCTGTCGCCGCTCCTTCCATCCTCCTTGAAGCCGCACGCGCCGCGTAGCGGAGCTCACGGCACCAATCGCGCCGACATGGGTCGCATTTATCCTAGTGGGTTGGTTCCCTAGACCGTACCCTGACCACTCGTCTTCAAGCGACTCGGCTCCAGTGCTAGTGTTTTCTATCTTCCCCTTACCCGAGCCGCGAATACGACCTCGATCCCGGTCTAGGCCACTAGAAACGGAGCGTTCTGATTGGTCGGAGTCGGGCGGTTCGGAGGAGATTAGTAGGCTGTAGCAGTAACAGGTGGCGAGAACCACGGCGATTAAGAGGAGAGGTAAGACGCGCTTTAAAGGGCGGCGTTTCTTAGGTAAAGGATACGCCTTGCCCTTAACTGCAGGACTGGACCAAACGCGAGGCTTCGGCATCGTGCCTTCTCGCGTCGGGTATACGTGCACTCAATTCGACCTCTTAAAACCCTGAAATGACTCAACGCTACGAATCATGGACTCAAAAGCTAGTTCCCATGCGGGCTGCGAGACGAATGGGAAAACATTTCTTTGCAAATGCATTAGTAATCGCCACGTTATCGCATTGCATCACTGGGATGGGGCTTTGCGTAGCGCCTATCTAAAACGAAGGCTACAGCAATTCGCGAGTTCTCCTTCAGTCGCAGCGTATGTCCTCTCCAATGGATCCGGGCCTACTTACAGGGGAGCCCATAGATACTCAAGTCTATGGAAGTAGGAACTGGAAAATTCAGAAAGAAAATCCCAAGGGTGCTGATATTTTTGAAACAGGAGAATCTCGAAGCAGCTGCGCTAATTTCAAGGTGGTCGACTGCGGTGAGTACTGACTTTCCCAAGGTGAGTGAAAGAACCTGTAACGTGTTCTAGTCACATTTATGGTAGGTGGAGATGTGCAAATATGCTTCACTGGTTTAAAAAGCTTTCTTTTTTTTGTAAATCATGTATCCGGATGCATATAAATTATTGGGATGAGTGGTGCACGTTTCTGCTCATAGACTATTCTGAATCAGTTATAATCAATTTCGTATTGGATGATGGGTGCACATTTCTTTTCTCAAGGAATTTCACGTGTCATCATATTGAGAAAGCTTGCTTTCTTATTCTTATCAATTGGCATCTTTCTCATCACAAGTGTGTTTAAAAAATATAATGTCTGGCCTTCAAACCCTCCAACCGCCACAAGCCAGCCATGTAAGTGTGTACCCCAGTCTGTGGCTGCCAAGGTGGCAACCGTTGGCGAGCTTGACCTATCACTTCTCTCACCTCCTGCTAACGTGGAGATCACGCAGATGGTCATGAAGACCCTCGGATTCTGAGAACAATCAGGACATTTAAAACATTATATAACGCTGATAAAATCAGCTTGTATTCTCGATTGTTTTTGTAACGAACCTCTACAACTTGTCACGGAGTAATGTCTTCAGTTATCAGAAACAACACTCACCCACTATCATTCTCTCTTCCTCCTCCTCCCCTCCTCTCTCCCTCCCTTACACTACATCTGGTGCGAGCAACAGCCTTTGTATGTTGAGACTGAATTGCGCACGGTTCGACTGAAAAATGGACAGGCTAACTGAATTGCGCACGGTCCAATTGAGAAGTGAACAGACTAACTGAATTGCGCACGGTCCAAGTGAGAAGTGGACTGACTAACTGAATCGCGCACGGTCCGACTAAGAAGTGGACGGACTAACTGAATCGCGCACGGTCCGACTGAGAAGTGGACGGACTAACTGAATCGCGCACGGTCCGGCTGAGAAGTGGACGGACTAACTGAATCGCGCACAGTCCGACTGAGAAGTGGACAGACTAACTGGATTGTGCACGGACTGACTGAAAAGTGGACAGACTAACTGAATTGTGCACGGTCCAATCGAAATATGAACGGTCCGACTGAAGCTGCATGCCTCTTCTGCATTTGATTGACTGGATGAGTGGTGCTCACTCATGTGCAAGGAGCTTATGACTCACGAGCTGAGGTCCTTGCATGTGAGCAAGTGAGCACCTTTCCACTTGGCAGGTATGAGAAGAATTGAACGAGAATGAAATGAGTATGAACGAAGTGAGTACAAATAGGAAACCCTAATTGGGTTGTACCCCCTATGGGATACCCCACTATAGCCTACACAAATGAGTAAGCTATATGTTCTGACACACCCCCATAGGCAAAGTGGGGGAGAACAAGGGGTCACAAGACCAGTCAAGCAAAGCAAAGCAAAGCTCAGGGTGGATCACAAAGTCACCACGCATTCCGAGCACAAGTTCAAAGGCCAGAAGGCCAGTTCACATGCAAGATCATATATAGAGGTATACAAGAGTCAAGTAAGCAAGAGCAAGGGTATATATATGCGAAGGTACAAGCAAGGTCAAGAGGAGAGCAAGTGAGGCAAGACAGGCACAAGACCCAACTGCGTGCAGCAACGCTGATGATCACAAGGCGCAAGTGCCTTGGTGAAGACATCAGCAGTGTTGGCCTCAGAGGCCACGTACGCAAGTCGCAACTGTCCACGCTGCTGTAGCTCACGAGCAAGAAAGTAGCGGAGAGCAATGTGCTTCGTTCTGTGCTCCAGTCGCTGCTCTCGACACAAGGCCAGCATGGCCTTGTTGTCTACGTACAGGACTGGAGGAGAACGAGGCTGCTCTCCAAGGTCAGTCAGCAGGTAGGTGAGCCAGCGTAACTCCTGTGCAGCCATAGCCCCAGCGTAGATCTCAGCCTCACAACTGGAGCCGAGAACAGAAGACGAGCGGGTAGCCCGCCACGAGACAGAGCCGGAACCAAGGCTGAAGGTGTAACCCTGTGACGACCGCTGCGTAGCCTGGTCGTCAGCCCAAGAAGCGTCTGCGTGCCCAGTGAGGACCACTGGACTGCGCCCTCCAAGCACTAGCCCCATGCCCGACGTACTGCACAAGTAGCGCAACACCCTCTTCGCTGCAGCCATGTGCTCTGGTCGGTGTCTCCCAGGAGCAACAAAGCGTGCGAGAATGCTAAGAGGGTATGCGAGGTCAGGTCGTGTGCAGGTCATCAGGTACATGAGGCAGCCAACAAGCTCTGCAAACGGGCCACTCGACTCTACGGACTCATCCGAAGGCAGAGCTGAGAGCGAGTGGCGAGTAGGCAGAGGAGTGGCCTGAGGCGAGGAGTACGTGAAGCCGAAGCGCTGAAGGACCTGCTGCACCATGTGTGACTGAGTCAGGGTAATGGTGCGGCGTGCTCTGTCCCGGGTGATCTGCAAGCCAAGGTAGCTGCGCAGTTCACCCAGGTCAGTGCACTTGTGTCTCTTCTGCAGCTCGGACTTCACGTAGGCGAGTCCAGCAGTGTCAGCTGTGGCAAAGACCAAGTCGTCGACGTACACGAGGATGTAGAACGGCGGCAGAGAGGTGTCGGTGCGCAGAAACAGCGACGGGTCGGCAGTAGAAGGAGCAAACCCAAGTGCCGCGAGCGTAGTCCTCAGTGTGTCGTGCCACTCACGTGGCGCCTGGCGGAGACCGTAGACTGGACGCCGGAGACTCCACTGGGTACCAGGAGGGAAAGACCCAGTGAAGCCAGGTGGGCGACGCAGCCAGATCTCCTCGTGAAGGCTGCCCTGCAAGAAAGCTGTGCTGAAGTCGAGAGAGTGCAGCTCGTAGTCACGGTGAGCAGCAACGTGCAGTAGAACCCGAAGAGTGGTCATCTTCGGGGTGGGGGAGAAGGTCTGAAAGTAGTCAACCCCCTGCCGCTGACTGAAGCCACGAGCCACGTAACGCGCCTTGAAGACAGGCGGAGAGCCCGGCGGCCGCTTCACCCTGAAAATCCACATGCCACTGACGATGTTCGCCCCAGGAGGGGGAACAGCGTCAACGTAGGTGCCTGTGGACTTCCAGGAAGCCATCTCTGCATCCATAGCTGCCTGCCACTGAGAGGAGTAGGGACCCTCTATCGCCTCCGCGTAAGAGCGCGGAGTCGGGATGTCTGGTGCATCCGGGTCTCCCTCAGGGGCTAGCAGTACAGACGCGAGACGAGGTGAAGCGGCGGCGAGACACTGGAACTCCTCCTGCCTGTCCTCAAGGACGTCCGTGCCAAGGGCACACTCACCCCCGACGGACGGAGGACAGGCGGACTCAGACTCAGTGACAAGACGAGCAGCGTAGTCTAGACGACAGCGCGCAGCAAAGTCGACAAGCTCAGTGACAAGGGCAGACGCAGCAGACGACTCGAAGGAAGGGTCAGTGACAGCAGTAGCAAGGAGACGCGTGACAGTAGGACTGGCAGCACGAAGAGAGTCCGACTCCGGGTCGGCAAGAGCAGGAAGAGAGGAAGCAGGAGGAGAAGGCAAAGGGGCACGCAGAGGAGCAGTGGACGGACGCAGTGACATCCGGTGCGTGCCAGGGACAGGAGGAGGACGCTGACGCGACCCGCGACCACTAGTGCGCTCAGTACGAACAGGCGACACGGGACGAGACGCAGGCTCACGACGCTCAGTAAGACCTCCAGTCGGACCAGCGTAGGGAGAAGGAGCAGGCAAAGGGGAGGCAGGCTGTAGCTGTGGCTGTGACCGGACAGGCTGCGGACCCTCTAAGGGAGGAGGAGGAGGTGTAAGACCAAGAACCTGCTGCAGGAGCGGAACGAAGTACGGTCGGGGCCGCGCGGCGACGCTAGAAAAAGCAGGAACAGCACCAGCAGCCCCGGCAGGAGCACCCACTCCAGCAGCACCTCCAGCAGCACCACCAGAAGCTCCAGAACCTCCAGCAGCAGCACCAGGAGCACTGTTAGTCGGACCGCCAACGGCAGGCTCAGCGCCAACACCCTCAGCAGTACCAGCTCCAGGAGAACTCTCAGACCCAGCGGCTCCAGCACCCACAGTACGAGCACCGGCGGGATGCGCGGTAGCAGTACCCTCTGCAGCCGAAGAACCACCAGCACCCGCAGCACGCCTCCAGCGCCTGGCAAACCACTCACGCAGCTCCTGTGGGGAGAGTGGCTCCCGGCGAGACGAAGCACCCCCAGGCACAGCACCCCCAGGCTCAGCACCCCCAGACTCCGCACCCCCAGGCTCAGCTCCCCCAGGCACAGCACCCCCAGGCTCAGCACCCCCAG